AGAAGCAGCACCTCTCTTTCTGGGCAGCGTGTTTGTCCAGGCTGTACACGGCCAGCCTAAACTCAAAAAGCACCATTCTACATTTAAGGACTGGATCTCTCCCACCTTGGGCTCCTCACTCACTTCGATTCCACCAACTCTGCTGTCCAGGCTCTTTAAAGGCCTCCAGATAGGTGCCCAACAAGACCCACAGCTCAGGTAGTCCACCTCTTCCCCAGGCAGTACGGTGGCCCTGTTCTGCCCTGTGTTCTACCCGCAGTATGCTGGATACTACATGGGCCTGGGGGTAGTTCCTTAGGTACCTGAGATTTCTCATATACACTACTAGATCAGGGGCCCTCTTCATCTGTCTCCCTAAATCAAAGTCAGTTATCATTATTCTTAAGTGTCATATTATTATCCCTTTGTTAAGAAGCATGGTTTATTGGAGACAGGAACAATAGCCAAACCACAGTCTGTTAGCTGAATGCAGCTCATGTTTCTCTTTGTCCTGTTGTTACTAAACCCAAGTCTGTTTACTTGTTACTTGAAAAGGGGCCCAATGAATTGAGGACAAGTTGTGGGACCAAGGAAAAAGATTTATTCAGAATGCCAGCAAAATGAGAAGATGACAGGCTACAGCCAACGAAGGCAAAGCTAGGGGGAGACTAATGGCATATTGCTCAGCAGCACTACTTCCAGAATGAATGACTTTTAAAGTCACCTAAAACCCAAGTGATGCTGAAGGGTTTATTTAGACTTTCCCTCAGTTTTACAGAGTGAAGATCTTCTATTTTTAAATAGTTTGAAGTCCTTCTATTTTTAAATAGTTTGGAAAAATCAAAATAATAACAGATGGTGTTGTATTATTGTGCACTCTGCCCAAAATTTGTAAAAGCACTAACCTCACAACTATATTTAGAAATAGGTCTTTTAAGGAGATAGTCAAATGAGGCCATAAAGGTAGGACTTGACCCAACCTGGCTGATGTTCATATAAGGAAGAGACATCAGGGATGCACATGTACAGAAAAAAACCTGTGTGAACACACAGCAAGTTGACAGTCATCTGTAAGCCAAGAGGCTTCAAGAGAAACCAGACCTGCCCAGCCCTGACATTGTACTTCCAGTCTCCAGAAATGTGAGAAAACGTCTGCTGTTTAAGCCATCCATCTGTGGTATTTTGCTATGGCAGCCTGATCTAATACACTTAGTGACACATGAAAATTATATGAACTTCATATTTGAGTCCATTAATAAAATTTTATTAGAACATAGCCTTGCTCACTCATTTACATATTATCTCTGGCTGGTTTTTTGCTACATGGCAGAGTTGAGTAGTTTTGACAGGAACTGTGTGACCTGCAAAGTCTGAAATATTTGCCACCTGATCCTTCACAGAGCATGTCTCCAAGCAGCTTGAGTATAAGGTCCTTGCTTAGGATTTGGATGGCCATCTTAAGTGACAGCCGCCAGGTTAAGGAAAGTTTCGCTTTCCCGCCCAAAGGCCTTTCTGAGAAAGGCTCACCACTCCCTCATACCAACCCAACCCTTAACACATTAGGACCCGCCCAGCTCTGGTTCCTGAGCCTCCCTGATAAAAGTCCCAGAACCCAAGCCTATTTTGCCTCTCTCTGACAAATACACTCACATGTGTATCTCTGCCTGACCTCTGTCTCATTTCTCGCTTACCAGTCTCTCGTTCCTTGCTTTCCCTTCATTGAGCACTTGTTTTGAATGCCTAAGTATCTTGCTCTGATCCTTACTTGGCTGAACTACCTACATAGTGGATCTTGCTTGGTACAGTGGCTCTTTTTGATCACTGCAAATAACTTAAGAAGGATGGTTTCATAGGGTAGAGTTGCCTGGGAAGCTGGAGTTACACAGCCAAGGAGCTTGGAACATGCCTAAAAATGAACTTCACTTATTTTGAAATATCAACATAGCAGTGTTGGGCACCACTGGGTCATTTCACCTTAACCCAGCAGGTTCCAATTCCAAAAGGGTGGGTCCCATCTCTGTTGCCAGATGAACCTGGCTTGATAAGCAGACCCTACACCTTACCCTCCCTGTGCATCAAGAGCAGCATCCCCATATCAGATCACCCCTGGCAGATCTGAGTCTAGATCTGACCTCAGACATATCTGCCACACTTCTTAACATAGGTCCCCTTCTTTGGGGACACTGGACAGTGGTGAATGCTTCAATGGCAACAAATTACAAGCAGACTATATTAGCTAATATCTGATGCTTCTTCTGGTATGCTTAAGTGTTCTATTAATTTTATACAATATCTTTATTTTTAGGTGGTGTGATGGAACCCAGTGTCTCACGCATGCACAGGAGAGCACTCTACCTCTGAGCCACAACCCTAGCCTAAGTGTTCTATTAATTTTAAAAGGACAATTCATATTTATAAATAAGTTATTTCAAATATAAACCTTAAAAAAATCATGCTTCCTCTGGTTAACCAAACAGCATAACAAAGTATGTTTATTTTAAACTGAAATCATACGGTCTGTTCTCCTACCCTTACTCCCAAAGTTGCAAATCCCCTACTAGGTTATTCTAATCCATGACTCAACAGGTAGGGTGGGAGACAGCCCTGAGTGTAGGGATAAAGACGCTTCTCTATTTTCCAATGCAGAGACCCATATACCAGGGCAGCTTAGGAACTCTCAAAATACCAACTGTCTCTCTCTTGGTAGCTCCCTGCCCAGAAACCAACATGAAACAGCAATAAAAAGCTAAAAATATCACAAAGAATGGCACTGTAGCATTCGTGGTGACACTGAGTAAGATTAAGGACACTGACAGCTGGTTTTGTCCACCTCTGTAGCTTATGCCAGACTAGGGAGTGACATCCCTGCTCTACACTTGTCAATCACAGTTGATTACATTTTCCCAGTTAATGAAAGACCTCTGGAGATACGTGAATGCCCCCATTTACTTTCAACCTAGTAAATATTCAGTGTGCCAAATTATAGACCATACATCCCTACTGAAAGGAAACACAACTGGAAGAATGATAGAAATCCTATATCACTTTCCAAGTGTGTCCTGATTAGCATCTTTTCATATTTTCCAATTTTTATTCTCATCATCTGCTAATATAGTTCTCCATTCTTGTAGGCATTTCTGATCATCTCACTACGCCAAAGTAAATTATTAATAGTTCCTAAGTGTCACATTCTTATCCCTTTGGAAAATCCCTCTTGAGAATCACAGTTTACTAAACAGCCAAAATATTTAGGCCTTATAGAAAGTCAACCTCATCTGTGCTCTTAAATTCAATATGCATAGTAATAGCAGTGTAGAAATGGGGAAGGACATTTAGAAAGCTGTATTAACAATACAGAAATCCCCCTGATTCAAGGGGGATACATTCCAAGACCCCCAGTGGACGCCTGAAACCATGGATATCACCACTCTCTATATATTTTTCCTACACGGAAACCTGGGATCAAGTTTAACTTAGGTACAGTAAGAGACTGGTAAAAATGCTACTTGAACACCAATACTGATACTGAGAAAGGTGATCTGATAACTAAGAGCTACTAAGTGACTAAATAATGGGTAACATGTATAGCATGGAAACACCAGACAATGGGATGATTCACATCCCAAATGGGATAGAGGGACAGTGCAAGATTTCATCATGCTACTCAAAATGGTGTGCAATTTAAAACTTAAGAATTATTTCTGACCTTTTCCATCTAATATTTTCAGACTGTGGTTGACCACAGGTGACTGAAACCGTGGAGCGAGAAACCATGAATAGAAGGAGTACCTTATATACAGAGGGAGCATATAAAAGCTATTCTGGGGCTTTTCTCTCCAATGTGCTGTCACTCCAACTTTCTTCAGCTCAGCCCAAAGTAGTGTGCGATGTATCTGCGTATTAGACAACTGGGTGTAAGAAGAAAAGAGAGCTGGAGGGATCAACTGAGCAGGGAGGCCAAGGAAACTTGTACACTAGTGGTGTTGGGCATAGCCATCTCCTTCCTGAGAACTAAGAACAGGAGGCTTGTTTTCAAAACAAAGAATTTTTTTAAATGGCAGCTCCCTTCTAACCACACACTTTTGAATTAACCAAAGCCATCCCCTAGTCTGAAAGGACATATGGCAGCTGAAATACCAGCTACTGAACTAAAACTTTCAAGATGGCTTCTCTCCCCCAACTTTTACACTTACTATTCATTAAACACAGATTGCAAACTAGCAACCTGTAGACAAAATTCATTCTGCAAATATGCTCGGCTAAGTGTCTTTTTAAAAATTTGATTTAGCTGGCAATTGGCTAGGAGTTCACATAGCTTCTAGATTGCCTTATTCTCTGAAAAAAAAATTTTTTAAATCTGCCTCCACAGGGTAACAACCACCTGGAGCTAACAACTATTAAAACAGTGTGTGAAGCCTGGCACAGGGGTCCACGCCTATAATCCCAGCAGCTCAGGAGGCTGAGGCAAGGGTTCAAACCAGCCTCAGCAATTTAGCGAGACCCTGTCTCTAAAATACGAAAAGGGCTGGGGGTGTAGCTCAGTGCCTAATCGCTGCTGGTTTCAATCCCTAGTATCAAAAAATGAAACAAACAAACAAAAAAAAAACGTGAGAGCTCCTAGGTTTGTCCCCACCACTGCCTTACATCTGGCAGCTTCACTCATTTGTTAGCTGCCTGCCATTTACACCTGCTTTCTTATCAAAAGCCCTACCCCATCCAGACCCTGAACATTCCCTTCCTGGATTCCATAATCACTAGTACAGTGAGGACTCCATTGATAGCCGGAAAGAATTCTGGATTCCGTAAATGTGTTTAACCATTATGTTCTTTACAATGACAAGAATCTCCCTGATAGCTCAAGATGTGGGATGAAAACAATTCCTGACCACAGATTTTGTCCTTTAGTTCTCCTTTTTTCCATTACTGTACCAATCACCTTGGTCCTGGGCTCTCTTGCATCTTGGCAAGGAGACCCTGTGGTGGGGAGATTTCCAGCAGGCTTTTTCATAGAACGCTCAAACTCTCAGTGAATAGATTTTATTCTCCATTAAAAGCCCTGACACAGCTGAGTTTCTTCAATTTATGCCACCAGGCTCTTCTGGAGTCTGTTCCAAGTGAGAAGTTACAACAGTCCACGAAACAAAGCAGAGTTCAAGGGCCAAACAGTCTTCACTGTGCTCTCAGATGCCTGGCTTCATTGTCCCCAATTTGATCTTGATTTGGAATCTCTAAACCGAGACGACGCAGAGAACGTGCAAAGAAGTGAGGAAGCCTACAGACCAAATGGAGTTCCTCCTTCCTGGACCCCAGGGCAGGCAGCATCAACTGCCGGGCATGCAGATGAAGGGGGATGTGGCGGGCCTTTGACTGTTCCAGCCCCAACTTCTTCAGAATGCCAACAGGAAGCTTCTACACAAAGACAAGACAGACCCTTGTGAGCAAGACTACCCTTGTCCACCCTTGACCAGCATGCAGAGTCAGAGGACTCCCACCTAAAACTAACTAACCCCCTGGAAATCCCAGTAATGGATAGTCTGCTTTAGTGGCATGTCTAGGAAGGGCTCAGAAACAGGTAAGAAAAAACCAGACCAAAGAAATTTTATGGGCTCATACTCTGGCCCTGCAAGAGAATAAACTACAACATTAAATGATGAAAAAAGTTAATCCATATTTCTTTAGCATGAAAGGTAGCTTTTAGTTTCAGGAAGATTTCTTCCCCTTGCCCACAGCATCACAACAAAATCTGATGCTGATCAAATAAAGGAGTAAGGTTTTGCTCATAGATTCTGAAGCTCCATGAGAATGAGATCTGTTTCTAAATTCTGTAAAGTTAGATAATCAATATAGTGCCAAGCCTGGAAACAATACTTTCCATGGCTTACTTCAGGATTTTAACAAAAAGAAAACTCAAGTGCTCTCCCTTATTTGTTTAATACTCCCTGTTAAACCAGTGTTACCTGAGGGGCCAATCTATTCCAGTCTGAGTACTTGTGATCACCAAGGACTGGGCAATCCAATCCAAAAGACAGGTGAACTCGAAGTTGATGTTTCACTCCTTGAGAAAGAGAAGGACTTATGAGAAACTACAGAAACAATGTCAGTGCTGGAATCTGCTTCAAATCATATTAAATCAAAGCTCAGTAAACTGGCAAAGACCTAACTACAATAAGTTATGAGGAATACTGTAACAAGCTATAAGCTGTGCAGCATCAACCAGCTTAAGAAATGAACATTATAAACACTTTAGATAATCACCCCATGAAATTGGCATCCACCATTACCCTGACTTTTTAATAATGTTACTACATAATAATAAATAGTATTCTTCTGCACATTTTAAAACTGCAGTAAAATATACATAAAATTTCCCATTTTAACTACTGAAGTATGCAATTTATAATATTAGGTATATTCACATTGTTTTGCAGCATCAGCATCCATTTCTCAAAGCATTTCACCAGCATCCATTTCTCAAAGATTTTCATCTTTCCAAACTGAAACTCTGAACCCATTACACAATAATTCCCCATCACTTCCTTCTTTCTCTCAACCCCGACCCCAAGCTTTTGGCAACCACCACTCTACTTTGTTTCTGTGAATCTTACTACTCTTGGTACCTCATATAAGTGGAATCATACAGCATTTGTGCTTTTGTATCTAGCTTATTTTACTTAGTATAATGTCTTCATGATTCACCCAGGTTGTAGTATATATCAGAATTTTCTTTAACTCCCTTTTTTTGTACTGAGCATTGAACCCAAGGGTACTTTATCACTGAGCTACATCCTCACTCCTTTTTATTTTGGGACAGAGTCTCACTAAATTGCCAAGGCTGGCCTCAAACTTGTATTACTCACTGTTTCTCAGCCTCCTGAATACATAGGATTGAAGGCCTGCATGACCATACCCAACTGTATTTTCAAATAAAGGTATCCAAAATGTAGCCTTCTGCTACCCACAATGATCCCTCTGGGGACACTTGTCTCAGAGCAGTACCAAAAGCCCATGGCCATATAAATAAGCTACCCTTCATCCCACCCACAGTATCAGTGTCTCATAACAAGGGCAGAGTCAAGCACAAGGCCCTGGACAAAGTACGGTAGCCACCTTGCATCAGAATGGGGGCACCCTCACCAGTTACAGGCTGGAGCTCCACGAGGGCAGAGGACAGAGTGCTGCTGAGCACCTGGTACTGAGTCATGGCAATGTGGGCGTTCCGGTTGGTCCGTACTTTGACCATCTTACCACTGTTCATGCGGTAGCTCGGGGACACCGTCATCTAAACATAAAGTAATCAAGATATGATTTCCAAGGAAGAACAGAAACCCATACCGCAGGAAGGCAGCTCACCCACCTTGTGGTGTTGCTGCTGGCCTTGCACCTCCTTCTCAATGATGGGAATATCCACGACTCCTGCCGAGGGCACGGGGACATGCACAGTGATGGCCCTAATGGAGACACACAGATGGTTGCTTTAGTCACATAAGGCAGATAAGAGCTCTTGGATTTGCCTGTATAGAGGATTTCACTCCAGACCTTCTGCACTAACATGGGTACTTCTTATGAACTTTTATGCCTGTCTGTGATGAGACGAGAAGGAGACCACCAATAAGAGATTCAGAATGGGTGACTGTTGTGGCTGAAGTTCCTGTGACTTTCTGGGGGCACAGTAAAGTTCTGATTTACCTATGTGACAAATATGGTAGGAGTGGTCCTCTGAGTTTGTCATTAGATCCATTTATTCATTTAGTCTATGATCAGAACCCACTATCTTTTTTATTACTTAAAAAAAGAAAAACAGGGCCAGGCGTGGTGGTGCACGCCTATAATCCCAGTGGCCTGGGAGACTGAGAAGGAGGGTCACAGGTTCAATGGCAGCCTCAGCAACAGCAAGGTGCTAAGCAACTCAAGTGAGACCCTGTCTCTAAATAAAATACAAAATAGGGCTGAGAATGTGGCTCAGTGGTTGAGTGCCCCCAAGTTCAATCCCTAGTACCCAAAGGAAAAAAACAAAAAAAGGACACACCAGAACCCTATTCTCCCAATTTTCTTTTTTTAAATTTTTTATTTGTATATGGAAACAATACCTTTACTTTGTTTATTGTTATGTGGTGCTGAGAATTGAACCCGGTACCTCACACATACCAGACAAGTGTTCTACTACTGAGCCATAACCCCAGCCCCCCAATTTTCTTTTAACCACATATCCACTCTTAAATGCTGGAATAAAAGACCACGTAATTAATATAATTTTTTATCCTTCCCCAACATTCTATAATTAGTATTCATGACATTAATAGTAAAAGACTTAAGAATATAAGTTGTATCCAGTTTTCAGATTAAGCATTATACCAAAGAGAATCATGTGAGACTCTCCAAGAATGATCTCTTATTATAATGGTTCTTAAATTTGATTGTATATTCTAGACATTTACAGAGCTTTTTAGAACTTTTTTTCTCTTGCAATACTAGAGATCAAACCCAGGGCCTCACATATGCTAGGCAAGTGTTCTACCACTGTGCTACATCCCCACCTCCTGTTTATGAGCTTTTTTAAAAAAAAAATAGACACCAATCTCCACAGCCACCAGATTTATGAATCAGAACCTCTGTGGGTGGGTCTTAAGCACGCAGATTTTTAAAGGGCTCCCCAGATCACAAAATCTGTAAAAAAAAAAAAAAAAAAAAAGGACTAATATCCAAAATATAAATATTTGTAAAGCAAACAGAAAATAATAACCCAATATGAAAATAGGCAAAGGAGAAGTAAACAGTCTATTATTCCAAGAAAGGGAAACTCAACCAACCAATAAATGCAAAAAGACAGCAAATATCACTAGTACATAGGGAAATAAAAAAGATCTTTTTTTTTTTTTTTTTTAACCCATCAGAGTGGCAAGCTTTTTAAAAACGCTTTGGTTAGTATAAGGGGAAGTAGGTATAGACCACCACTCATGAGAGTATAAAGTGACTTTTGGAGAGCACTTTGGGGACTATTAAAATATCAAATATGCATACCCTTCAACCTAGCAATTGTTTCCAGGAATTTATTCTAAAAATATTGCCATGGCTTAGATGTGGTTTGTTCCTGCCAAAATTCATGTTGAAATTTAATTGCCGCTGAGTGGTATTGGAAGGTAGGCAATTTAAGAGGTGATCAGGACGTTGAGAAGGATGCATGCTGGATCATTACCACATGTGTGGACCACTATAAAGCAAGGCTGCCCTCCTGTTTCCTCTCTTCCACACATGCCCACTTACCCTACCACTTTCTGCCATGAGTTGAAGCAGCACACCAGCTCATGCTCTTGGACTTCCTAGCCCCCAGTACTATAAGCCAAAATAAACCTCTTTACTTTATAAATTACCTAAGCTCAAGTATTGTTACAGCAACAAAAAATGAGTTAATATATATTCACATATTCTTTACAATAGACTCTGAAAAATGGGAAGTTATCTAAACATCTATTCATACAGTAGAATAACAGAGTCACTACAAAGGGAACAGCTTTAAATGTACAACACAAAATGCTCTCCAAGATATTTGATCCAGATGAAATCAGCAGGGTACAAAGCAGTGCATAAATGTGTTGCCATATAATAATGTTTATGTATGCCCAGTATAACACTTAAAAGTTTACAAAAGATACTGGTAGAAGTATTGCCTTTGGGGAAGGAAATTGCTGAAATGCAGAACAGTGGGTTTCTCTATTGACTCATGTATCCTTTTTATTAAAAAAAAAAAAAAAAATGAGGTAGACTTATATGGAAAGATCCCTAAGACACAAATTAAGTATATATGTACGTGTGTATGTGTGTGGGGGGGGGACAAGTATGCAAATTGTACAATGTGAAAAATATACGAATAAGTATATCTAAATGTGTGATATATGTGTATTCATAAGTGTATGTAAGTACATACACAAATACCGCATATACAAGACATGTGTAAATGAATTGAGTAAGGACCAGAGAAACAAAAATTAAATAGATCACAGTAGTTGCTACTTCAAGGGAAGAGACTAGAATGGCAGAGTGGGTTGATTCTCCAGAGGCTTTTGTCTTTGTTTCACTATTTCAACCAAAAATGAAATCATATATTTCCTGTACAATTAATTTTGATAGTTTTGATGTACAATCATAATTAAAAACCACTATTTTATTTAACGTTCTAAACACCAAATCTGTTTTAAGTATTTTTTATATCCTAATAGGTGATAGTGCAGGGCCTTCTACTAATAGTTGCTGCTGTATGATGAGGAACAGAAAAGATTCCTCCATTTATACCACCTCTACTTCCATCAATGATCCTCATACCAGTACTTCTTTGCCACCTGACGGGTTCTAAACAACTCTTGGACTTGATGTGCCACATCTTTCTCCCAAGCCAACACCATTACGCCTGTGGTTTCCTTGTCTAGCCGGTGGCACAGATGTAAGGGCTCTGCCTTGTGGCCATGAAGCATCTTTGCCAGGATGGGCAGTACATCACTAATGCAGAGCTGGACCCCAGGGCCACCTAAGGAAAAAGACAGAAGTTTGAGAGCTTTTACCAAAGAACTAACTTAGGAGAAAAGTCCTCATGCATAAACTGTCAATGTGTTCTAGAGAAATACTACTGAAGTGTAGGAAGGGCTAGCAATATCAGTATATCTAAAGACCTCTCTAGCTATAAATGAATCTAAAGTCCCCAATACAGGCTACTAAGTCAGAATCTGCCTTTTAACAAACTGCCCAAGTGACTTACAGGCAATTAAAATTTGAGAAAGACTGTCCTAGATTATGTGGCTTTCTTCTGGATATACTTTGCAGGACCATAGGCCCTCTTAGGCATTGCAGAAGAGTGGTTACGGTGATGGGGTTTGGGATTAGACATTCCTGGTTTCTCCTTTTTGTACTCACCTAACTAGCCACTTGACCTCAGACAGATTACTTGTATTTCCAATTTTGTTTTCTCATGTAAAAGAAAAAAAAAGAGGGAGGTAAATAACTGGAAAATAATCTCACTGGGGAATGATAAGGCAAGAAATTGCTTTTGGAAGAGGAAAAAACTCATGTAAAGTACCGCTTTAATTCTTTGTCTTTATGGACAACTTTCTCTTAACTTCCCCCAAAGGATTACCTTCTTCTAGAAAAAATATTCCTTCTCTCTCTCCACCTTTTTCACGAATACATTTTACCCTATCAAACTTTTCTGACTCACTTCAGCTGTTCCTTATCACTACATTCAACGTTTAGTTATTTAAAGACATCTGAGTGTCCTGTTAAGTTCCAGAAGTTTTATTTGGCATACTCCACCACAAACACACCTTTTAAAAATATTATTATGTATTTTGTGTTATTTTCTCTTTCCCAGTTTTGTGTGTTTATTTGTGAAACAGGGTCTAAGCTGCCCAGGTTTGCCTAGAACTCCCAATCCTGCTGCCTCAGCTTCTCAAGTATCTGGAATTACAGGTACTTGCCACTGCACCTTTCTCTCTTTCCCAGTTTTGATGAAAAATAACCTGAGGACTAAGAACACACAGTCTTTATATTTTTCTACAATAGTCCCTGTGGTAGTCTGCACACAACATTCCAGGAATGACTGCTGTCAAATGTTTGGAAATGGGTTTACCTTATTTATGTTTGTGCCCTTGGCAGTGTCTTATAAAGGATAATACTCTACAAAGGTTTAATTAATTTGAATGCAAGAGTGCCTCACCTGTAATACTTCATAAATGCCCCTAGTTGTGGCAGAAAGCAGTAACAGGTCCCGCTCCCTTGCCCACATGGTTCTTACCATGGACAGGAAGACCGTAGGGCTTATTGATGACCACAAGGTCCTCATCCTGGTGGAGAATCCCTCGGCTCAGTGCCTTTGCAAGGACGTTAGGGTGAACTCGCTGCAGCTGCCGTGTGAACCGCACGAGTTCTTGCACTCTCCGTTGAATACGGTTTGTCGGTTCCTACGGAGAGAAGGAGAGGTGGGAATGCCTGGTGACTAGTAGTAAGCGAAACAGAAGGGAAGGCCCTCAATAAGCGTGAGAATTTGGGTAGGGATTGCCTGTATCTCTGCGTTAGACTCAGGTCTTCCTCAAGAAGCTCGAGTCTCTCTCACATTCGTACCTACGCGGTGGTCGGAACTGAGCCTGGCAACAGCAAAGACCCAGCCCACCTGAAGGCCACGTAACCCTACAGACCTACCGTCTCCGCGGTCTGCCCATTCTCCTACCTTTACTTACTTGCCGCCCAAGGACCCTCCTACCTCACACCCTGCCTGGGAAACTGTGCGCACTGCCTGTTGGGAGTCGTGGACCTTCCGGGCTTACCGGCTTTTTCTTCTCTTGTTCCCGTTTCTGGGCTCGGAGCCTCTCCGCTAGTCTCTGGGCATTCAGAGGCCTAGTAGCAGCAGCGGTGGAACAAAATGGCTTTGAGACGAGAGTGAAAAGACTCCCCAAACGCGGGCCGGTACCCCGGACCCAGGCGCCAGACACAGTACAGCTGGGCGCCGCCATCTTACCTAGGGAGGGGCAAGCTACGACCACGTGGAGAAGAGTGACAACAGGGTGGAGGGAGTGGGTGGGCTCCTCGGGTCACGTGTAGAGGGCGGGACCTGCGGGTCACGTGGGCGGTGCGCGCTCAGTGCGGCTGCGCCGGCCGGTAGCTGCAGCTGAAGCCGTGGCGTTTGGAGGAGACGCGGTGAGTGTCTGGGGAAGCCGGGCTGGGGCTGGGCAATGTCCGTGCCTCAACGTTTTCCGCGTCCCCAGGATCTCGGTTCTTGGAAAACACATCCCAGGAAAGCGGTTCTCCGTTTGGGACACAACTCCAATCAAAAACACTTCCCCGCCCCCGCACCCTCTTAGAAGAGAAACCCCACAGACGCTTGCCCCACTGTCTTCTCAGGCACCTACTTCGTCCCTCTTGGCAACCACATCCTTGGCGGGGACGCGGCGTGTCCCCTCCTGTTTCCTTACCGCTCGACCTCCGGAGATGCCCGGATCTCTAGCGTCTCCACCTCTCGCCTTCCGACTCTCTATGTCTTTGTTCGTATTGTAACCTGCCCTCTCTTCCTCTCCCAAGGATGATGGTCCCTTCTTTCATCCAAAGCCCCTAGCCCGAATTTCCTGCGAAGGGAGCACATGGGTTTCTTCTGTCCTTCCTCAGGAATTCATTTCTTGCGGTCTCCTCCTCCTTACCTTCTCCACTCTTCACAGAGAAAAGACGAAGTACAGGGCACCGACCTTCCTTTCTCCCTTTTGCTTTATTTTTCCCCTCCGTAGTTTGCTGCCCCAAACGCTTTCTTCTTCTTACAAGATGCAGTGTTGGGACTCCCATGCCTGAACTGCAAGCGACTTCCTCTGATTTCACTTAAGGGACGGCTGGGAAGATGAACATCTGTTTGGGATGGTAGTCTTAAAAATACCTTGGGATGTACGTGCCTTTCGTTAAGAATAAAGGTAATGCTGTGCTGAGTTCTGAAAGAATGTCTTGAGAAAAACCAATGAAACTGAAATGACGGTAGAAGGATAGCAGGAGGTCTGCTTGGGGAGTTAAGAGAATAGGAAGTGAATTAGGTTTAGGGCATTCCTCTCCAAAAGAGATTGACAGAAGGGAGTAATTGAGCATAAAACAAAGTTGAACAGATGGAACTAGCCTAATGAAGACCTTAAGTTGAAGAGTTTAAACTATAAATGATGGGTAGCTGAGTCTTTGAAGCTTCGTGAGAGACTCCTTGGAAGTGGAATTCTGGAAATGAATGTGACACTTAAATGCAGGACCGATTGTAGCAGGGAAGCTATCTGGGATGCTGCAATCTATGTGATCAGTAATGAGGCTGTGCCCTATTCTAGTGGACCCTTTGCCCTGCAAGGTACTGTGTTTTGTTTGAATCCATTTAGTTATGCAAGTCAAGATACATCATTGGCGGGCTGGGGCTGTGGCTCAGTGGCAGAGCACTTGCCTCGCACATGTGAGGCACTGGGTTCGATCCTCAGCATCACATAAAAATAAATAAAAATAAAGATATGGAAAAAAAGATTTAAATGCTTAAAAAAAAAAGATATATCATTGGCAACTACTGTTGATTTGTGAGTCCTTTGAGGACTGTCCCCCATACCTAGCATTTAGTAAGTTCACAAATATTTGTTAGGAGGTTGAAGTACATCATGGACATATTAGGTGTTTCTAAACTTTTTGAATTGTCTTATTTCTGTCAGTTTTGGACCTGAAGAGTAAAGATAGGGGTAAATATATTTGTAAGGAATATGGAAAAAATCTTGTGTGTTTCTGTGATAAGATAAATGATCTGGATATAAATACAAAGAACTCCAAGGGAGATTGAGAAACAACCAGTGTTTCCCCTTCTATTATTGTTTGTTTTTGTTTTCCCCAGTAAATTCACAGAACATAAATTTATAAATCTTGAGAAATTCCACCCTAAAAAATTACTACCCTTTATCTATATGCACCTGACCCAGGTTCTAATTTTATTAAACTGTTGCACATGCCTTGTTACTTAGTTACATGAAGTCCCTTTTCCAAGGACCCTGAAATTTGGACTTCAGAGTTTTAATGCATACCATTACATTAATTACAAACCTGTTTTCTATACAGGATTTTTGTGGTGTGAGTGAAAGTACTGGGAGAATCTTTCTGCCTTTTGGCATTCAAGAAATACTTCTAAAGAATTGGCATTCTGGCCAGTAATCCTAGCGGCTAGGGAGGCTGAGATAGGAGGATCCTCAGGTTCAGAGTCAGCCTCAGCACAGCGAGGTGCTAAGCAACTCAATGAGACCCTGTCTTTAAATAAAACGCAAAATAGGGCTGGGATTGTGGCTCAGTGGTTGAGTGTCCCTGAGTTCAATCCCCAGTACCAAAAAAAAAAAAAAAAAAAAAAAGGCATTCTGTGACAGAAAACAAAAGAAAGAACCAACTCAGATGTCATTGCTTCTTGACTTAGAACTTGTATTCAGTTTCAGGTTAACCCAAGGCACACACCATAGTGCCTTGGAGAATAAAAACATTAGTCACTTTTTTCTGGAGAAGGAACCTTTGTTTTCTTTCTTCTTCTTCTTTTGTGTTTTTCTTGTTGAAACTTTGTAAGAAGAATTTAAAGAATTAAAAGTTTTTGTTATCACTTTACTAGCTTTAGCCAACTTGGGTCCAGAAGTTACAACTTCCTTGTTTCTCTTATGAGGCTAGGCACTTGGTGAGCTGTTGTCTCAGTATAAAGAATGTATGCAAATATCATGTGTCTCTTTCCTTTTTTTGTAAGTCTGTGGTGCTGAGGATTGAGCCCAGAAGCACTCTACTATGAAGCCATATCTTCAGCCTATTCTTTTTTAAGACAGGGTCTTGCAGAGTTGCTGAGGCTGGCCTCAAACTTGTAGTCTTTCTGCCTCAGCCCCCTAAATAGCTGGAAATACAAATGTGCCACTGTGCCCAGCATTCTTTTTTAAAATCTCTGTTGCCTCCTTCCTCTTCCTCATTCAATTGATGATATTTTAGGCATTCATTTTTCTACTTCTTCACAGTTGCACATTGTCTTTTTGGTTGGGGACTACCCTTGTCTGAACTGTTTTCTCAGTGTAAGATTCTATTAATGGGTCTTCATTTTTATGAAGTCTAATTCTGTTCAAATATAACTTATTTACGTAGATTTTGACATATCACCATATGTGCCCTCAAAATAATTAAATAAAGAAGAATTTGGGCTGGGGTTGTGGCTCAGTGGCAGAGAGCTTGCCTAGCCGTGTGAGGCACTGGGTTCGATTCTCAGAACCACATATAAATAAATAAAATAAATATTTAAAAAAACTTGATTTTTTAAGGTTATTTTTCACTCTGTGCAGGAACAAGGACTATCAGTAAAGGAACTTGAATTTAAATACTGTACACATAAGGTTGATTAATGGCATCAAGTTAAATGGCAACCCCTCAAGTAGTGATTTGCTAGTTGCAGATTAACCAGAGATCACATTTCCCCTAAGAGCAGGAAGTACTTGGACAATGTTTTAAAGAGATTAAAAGAAGCAATTAGCAGGAACTCTCTGAAGGTGTTCTGGAAAATACAGTTCTTGGGAGCCAGAAGATCTGGAGACTAGTCCCAGTTCAGCTTTTATGAACTTGAACAAATAATATGGGTTTCAGTTTTGTCACTTAAAAGTTTAAGAGCTTTACAACTGTAAGCTTCTCTGCTGTGAAGATTTTCCAGTGACACTTCAGTACTTTTGACTTTAACAAGTGGAATTTCTCTCAGACTTATCTTGAATGCATTTAGCATTGGCACAGATCTGCCAGTGCCACTAAACTAATATTTATATTTGGAGTTTATTTCATTTAATGGTGTTGGAATAATCAAGATTTCTAATGGGGCAGGGGAGGGGCATATAGAAAAATATTTGGGAGTGTGAGGCTCAATGGTAGAGCACGTGGTAAGCATGTAGAATGCCCTGGGTTTAGGGCATTCTATATGCTTATTATTTCCCTGCACTGGAAAAAATATTAAAATATTAAATCTATAACATATAGTATCTCTCATACTTTTATTTAGCTTTTGAATAATGATCCGGGCAAATCTAACTTAAACCACTGCTTCCCAGACTTTTCTCATTTCACAGCACATATGGAAATAATTGTTGTATCATTGGGGAAAGCTGAAAGTTACCCACAGAAGGCAACTGGCCTGGGAGCTGTGGCAGTCCACAGTCCCCACTTGGCAACACCAAGGCTAAAGAGATACATCCCTACCCTGAGACCTGACTATTAGGAAGGTCAGCTTTGCACATTCAAGGTCTTTGCCCCAAACTCTGCCTGGCTATGAATAGGAACTGTATTATTAGTTATTTTTGTTAAATTGGTCTCTAATCTTATTTTTGTATTTATGTTCCTTTCTACTTTTGGCTAGTTTACATTTAAAGACCATACTTATCCTTACACAGTGGCTTTTCTAAAAGTATGTGAATGATAGCTAACTGATGAAGAGATGGGAAATGCTTTTGCCATAATATGGTGACTTGTTAAGAGTATGGGCAGTCTTGATCTGCCTTTTTAAAGATAAATAATATCCAGAGTCAAATACCACCATGCAAGGGAATATGTGAATTTCTTTGAATGGTTTATTTCATGCTTTCTTTTATAAAAGTAATAGTTAGGTCTGGGGTTGTGCCTCAGTGGTAGAGCGCTCGCCTAGCATGCTTGAGGCACTGGGTTCGATCCTCAGCACCACGTAAAAACGAAATAAATAAGATAAAGGTATTGTGCCCACCTACAACTAAAAAAAAATAAATAAAAGTAATAGTTAAAAAACAAGGGGCTGGGATTGTGGCTTAGCAGTAGAGCGCTTGCCTAGCATGTGCAGGGCCCTGGGTTCGATCCTCAATACCACATAAAGGTAAGTGAATGGAATGGAGGTATTGTGTCCAACTATAACTAAAAAAATAAATATTTAAAAAATACAAAAAAAAAAAGAGTGGGAAGAAATCATTCTTAGCTTCTCTTTTCCATATGTGTAAATATCATAGT